TGCAGTATATTATAGAGTATCAAATCAATTTGAAAGACACAGAAGTTCACAAAAATGTAGAGCAAAGCAGTAGAGAATCGACTATTTTTTTAGGTTTTGCCACAAGCACATTTTTTTATGATTGGATTGTAAAATATATAATGTTGCGCGTTTTTCTAAAATCTTGCCGATTAATTGATGGGTGTTCAATTTTTCACGGAAATTATTACATTCCTTTTTAGGACATTTAGAGGTCAACTGTAAAAGGTATATGACCTGCTTTGGTTAAGACACGCTGAGTCAATTTTTATCATTCTAGGTCAAAGGGTTGCAATAAGCAGGCAATTGTTTTTTTTTTATGATGAGACGACCAGTCAATGTTATCACACCTGAATACTTCCCATATAGTGGAGGATCAGCATATTATAAGTCAGCCATGTTTTGACTAACACATCACTGAACCACGAAACCACTAATGCTTTTTGTAACATATGAACGATGATGGCTGGTTATGTTCATAGATAATTTCTCAATTGACCCCCACTCCCCCCCCCCCCCCCCCCCAAAAAAAAAGCTGACAAAAATCATTCCAATAATTGCTTCTTGGACATATCAAGAAAGTGTAATGCGTTAGTCATTCGCTAACACATAATAAAATGCGCAAACCATGACTATTATCAGAACAAAGCAAACGAATGAAAAACAGAAATTACTTTGATATAATGATGCAAATTTAATAATATTCGTAATGCTGTCAAATAAAATTGAGAATGGAAATTGGGAATGCGTAAAAGAGACAAAAACCCGACCAAAGAGCAGAAAACAGCACAAGACCACAAATAGGTTTTCCATACAGCGAGAAAATTCTACAACCGGAGGCTGGCTTCAGCTGGCATTCATAGTGTGTGGTATTTAAGCCAAACATGACAAAATATACAATGAATCGCGTATGTTGTATTATAAAGTTGACTAGTTTAGTACATAAATCATAGATATCAGGATTAAAATTTTGTACGTCAGTCGCGCGTATAGTCTACAAAAGACTCATCAGTGACGCTCGAATAAAAAAAGTTAAAAGGGATTAATAAAGTACGAAGTTAAAGAGCATTGAGTTAGAGTTTGCAATATCTGATAAAATAGTATACATGCGTTTCTAAGATAAAGATAAGTAAAACTTTTAATGGAATGAAAATACATTAAAATTTGTTTTTAATCTGTAAGATAAGATTACACACCATAGTATAAATATTAATTTGAAGTCAATAAAATCGTTTCCATTAATTTAAAGCAATCTAATTCATATTTAGTAGCAATAGTGAATGTGTAAATCGGAAATAGTTCGCACTAAAGGCTTAGAATTGATTTGATTTTCCCTTGTTGGAGTAATAACAATGTCCTGCTGTGATGGTATTCATCTTGTTAGTATAGTAATTTAATATTTAAGTAATATTTTCCTGGAATCTATACAGCAAAATCTTTTAGATTTTAGTAACAATATAGTATTATACAGTATAAGACAGTATGCGGACAATAAATCACAAATCATAAACCCAGGTATGAACAGATCAACATTAAAGTGAAAACAGGCACTGTAAACAAAACCAGTCCGCTTGCGTCGACGCGATAAGCATCTCTAAACATAGGAAACCAGTTTTATTCTACACAATATGATTCACAAATAACTTTGATAAGGTAACTGTAAGATCAAAACTTTTGGAAAAGTGCGATTGCTTTATACGATCACGTAACATTTGTAGCCAGACATTATTAATGTTGCTCGGATGACATTAAAATATCATTCGAAATCATTGTATTCAGTGTTTTTATAACTACTAGGAGTGACAAAGTTAGTATAAGACACGAATCAGTACGGAAAATATATGTACGATTATTTTTGCAATACGGTTCTCGTAATTTTGTATTTATATATAAGTTATGATGGCAACTATCATTGCATGTACTAATCATAAAGGAGAAATAAGCTATCAATTGAAATCATCATAATTTCATGTTTGACTAACGGTTATGATTAATTGTCCAACTAACAGTAGCAGTCCAACAGAAGTAAAGAAATTTCTATCACCGTTGTGATATATGTTCTGAACGTTATTTTCCAAATAAGTAAATAAATGAAAAGGATTTAATTTTTTCATTGGATGAAGTCTGTCTAAAGGAATAAATCTTCTTTAGTGCATAATTATAAATATGTCAATGTTACCCTATCATAGAAACTGTTCCTTAAGAAACAATTAATTCAGTGACGTAAACAGAGATTTACTGGAAAAGAATATAACCTCCCTTTTGCATTTCATAACATTAAAACGATTGATCTTTATAAAATCCTTCTAAATGATTAAGGCGAAAGTAGTTTAAGCGCGAGGTTTGGCTAGCCACAAAACCAGGTTCAACCCACCATGTTTCTTAAAATGTCCTGTAACAAGTCAGGAAAATGGCAGTTGTTATCTTATATTTCGTTTCTGTGTGTGTTGCATTGTCGTTTGTTTTTTGTTCACGTCAGTGTTTCTATTGTTTCATTGTTTTCCTCTTATAGTTGATGTGTTTCCCTCGGTTTTCTGTTGTAACCCGGATTTGTTTTCTCTCAATCGATTTATGACTTTCGAACAGCGGTATACTACTGTTGCCTTTATTTACCGATGTACAACCCCATAAATCGACTAAGGATAGACAATTGAAGGTAACAAACACAAACTAAGGGAATCGCATCAACTCCAAAAGGATCGAGACAGGGTGCCTCGACAGGGAAAGCGTCTACTGCTGTGCATGCATCACCCATAATGTGAATCAAGACTTGTCAAAATGTAAAAATCTGAAATTGAAAACAATTAGTAAAATTGCAGATCAGGCGAGTATACTAATATCTAAAAGATCTAACTAAGACCAAGAAAACATGACGCTAGTAGTTAAGACACCAATACATCATATCCGTCAACCATTTTGTGATGGTGTCAGATATCCTTTAACAGTTTTCAATTTCGTTTGGAAAGTTTTAAGTTTTATTCTTCAAAAAATATTCCCTGTTATGATATAAGCGGAAGATACCAAAGGGATATTCAAACTCATAAGTCGCGAACGAGCTGACAAGTCCATTACAAAAACCGAAAAACTACCAAACGACCAACAAGGCGATCCTGAAAGTTGAGCAGATTCCATTGATCGCTATTGAAAAAATGTATGAATTTCTAATATGTACAAGTATAAGTCAATTTAACCCCAGTTCGACGGCACATTCACTATTCTTCAATAAAGATTAAATGAAACTTTTCTCATGTAACTAATACTGGTATAAATTGTTAATTTATCTCATCAAATTCAGATGTTATCAAACAGCGCCTTTGCTGTTCTTCTTATGTTTGTTTAGCTATATACTCCAAATTTGACTTTCTAAACTTTAAACATAATGGTAAATAAAATATGGTTAATTCAGGAAATCGTTTATCCCGTCTTCAGTACAATGCATTGATATTTATATGCATCGTCAGCTTTGCCAAAAAGAATCCGCACAGATTGAATTATTTCGGCATTGTTTTGAACCTATATAAATTGCAACAACTAACATTTACTTTTTTTATTATTGCGGTGCTTTGGTCCCTTCGATATGATTCAAAAGTGTCATATTGATTGCAGATAACAGTTTTCATTCCCAAAATGTCAAATGTCAGTGCTTCTATTTAGATCAGTTTTTAATGGTTTCAAAATTTAAGTTATTTTGATAAAAACACGGAAAATCATTGATTTGCATTTTCTGGTAAACGACAAGCGGATGAATATCAATTGCCGAAAAATACCAAAAGCCCATCATTCTATATATATTTTACTATGTAGTGAAAAAACCCTGTCAGTAAAATGATTTCTGTTTCGATTATTTCTATGCAAAACGGTACAATAATTCAACAGGAATGCAACTACTTATTGGTCACAACAGATGCATGAATCCGATGTAATCTCGTCGTGAAAACTGGTATTTATATTGACGCTGAATTACAGTTCCTCAATGATCGGATTTTTCCAATAGACACAGGAATCAAAGGGGATTTAAGTTACGTAACATAAGAGCTAATACCTGAACGACCGGGAAAAAGTTATTTCAGAAATGTGTTGTTGGGCATACAAAAGTTTGTATTAGGTGTTTTACGTTCTACTTCTCATCATTACGATACTAGTATTCGAATATATAGGGATAAGTTATGCTTTTCACAGGCTTTCATCATGAGAAAAATAATCTGACCCCTTGGAGCATTTTTAGGTTTATTTTTATATAAACGTTCGTTGTAACAGTAGTCTGTAGACAACGACTTTAACATTATTATTGTTTGTTTCTCTATTTTCCGGTTAAGTTTTTGCTGCTTTTTTTTCATTCTTGTTTTAAATTTTTGATATTCTTGATAAAAACTTTAAAAAAAAATACCATCTTATTGTTCAGTACACTAGACATATCTTTCGTTAACCAATAATCATCAGCGGCTAAAATCCAACAGTTAGAATGCCAAAATGAATAGTGAGGTACAAAGCACTGATAACAGACAATTTCTGTAAGGTTGCCTAGGTTATTTATCAATGGGGATTAAAGAAACTTTAGTGTTTTAAATTACTTATTACATACTTCAAACAGTAAATTGTAAATTGGTTGCATTTAATCATTAATAATCTCTTATGCCACCTCAGAAGCCCTGAATCTATGCAGATGAGATACTAGGGGACGGAATGTCCACCAGCAGTTTTATCAACCCAGACACTACTGTGCTATGTGAAATAAGTAAATAGTACTGAAACTAGGAAGTGTATTTATGAATGTCTAAAAATCTAATTATCTGATATTGATACTAAGTTATATTTGACATTTAAAATATTCCGAAAATGTGCAAATGTCCATTGATACGAAATTGATACCAACGATTTTTTAAAATGACATAATATTTATATCTACAATATCGTACGACACCATAATCTAATAGTATTAGCCAATTATTCAAAACAAGTCTTATTGTATAATAGATAATATTAGTTTTGAATTACTATTATAATTATTTATACTTTCGTAGCAAAAGTATAATTAACAGTTTATGTGAATTGATCAGGAAAATAAAGTAAGTAGAACAATAGGATGGTAAACGAGAATAGGGAAAGTAACTACTAATACAATCCTGTATACTTCATAATGCAGAAAATGGCATTTTTACGTAAAAAGAATATACGGATACTTCTCATGTACTTAAGTTGCAAAGTTGAAATGTGGGTGATATTTGAATGCAGAAATGATAATGAATGCATACCATCGGTTGGTAAAACGTAATAATGTTTTTTTTTTATATCAGTTTATTTTCTTTTGGAATTTCAACCAAAGATGAAGAACTGGATATTCTTTCGCTCTACATTATAACCAAAATCAAATAAGTGTCCTTACAAACAACGTTAATAGCTGGGTCCGCCAAATGCTCCACAAAACATCTTTCCAAATTATTAATATCTCTCGTATCAACAATCAAGTCTGGGCATCAGAGTTACTGTAACACTATCCACCCTCTAGAAGTGGTGTGAATAAGATGTGAATGATAAAAAAACCAAAAGATCTGTTAGAATACTTCCAATTAAAGTCCCTCTCCTATGCAATAGTTAAAAACGTTTGACTTTTCTCCTCTTTACGCTAGCATTCATTATTCTAAACTTAAAGACATGTTAACAAAATTGGTCCAACCTTGTTTCCTCAAACAGAATGGCCAATCTGGATATAAATATCTTTTTCCTACTGAATGTCGATGGTTCGCTCCGGGCACTCCGGTTTCCTCCATCAATAAAAACTGCCAACCAAAAAAATAATCCTACCACACTATAGCCAATAGCGCTGATACGGGCGTTAAACACCAACAATCAACCAATCAATCTTGTATAAGGAAGGGGCAAAGCATAGTTTATAAAACACCGCTCTGATTCCAGCAGAAAGTTTACTGAAATTGACATCTTCAAAATGCTTGATTTTTTATTGACAATATATTACATGTAGTTACATTTTTTTCAATAGAAAATCGGCATTTTCATGAGAACAAACTGTGCCACTCTGCTTGACGACTTTATCTCTATGAGGCAGACTTCATACAGAAGCTTCTCAAGAACAGAAAACAAGCTGGTTTTCTTATTTAATTTCAATTTCCGCTATATGTCCTTTCACTGAATAAATCAACATTTGGTGACTTTGTTAACTGTATCTATCCAATTAAATTTGAAATAAATGATTTCACAGACTACTAATTTAAAGGGAAAAACACGTCTGGTATCTTCGATGAGTTTTTGTGCCCAAACAAAAATGAAAAACAAATATGGAAGACAGCAACCATTGACAACCACTTAATTTTAGGCACATCATGAATGTTCCTGGGTTAAACATGTTCCACCCCCTTTTTTTGTTTTGGTCAAGTTAAACAATAGTATAACTTCAAAGTTGACCTAAGTCGGATTTGGCAATTATTTCATGTCCTTTTTAGTCATCTAGCTCATCAAAAGTTTTATTCTCATACTTCCTTTGCTTTCAAATATTCAGCTTTGAGCGTTCCTGATGAGGTGAACCAAAAAAAGCTTTTCGGATGCATGTAATTATAATGTCTTCTTTTTCCTTTTTTTCAAGCTTCTAATGTAGACGCGTTTTGGGATTTTTTTTATCATGAAAGCAAACGATAAATGTTTATTTCTGTTAGGAAATAATATAAATGATAAAATGTGTAACGTTTTTTCCTGAATCCGGACGACAAGGTGAAAACGAACTTAACGTCAAAATAAATCTCGTGACTAAAATTAGTAAGAAACGCGTGACTTTATCTAAAGTTACAACATCAAATGAATAAAAGCCACGAGAACAATGTCGTTCAAATTACATTGTAAAGTACAACAATACATTAAATGACCATGCTAAGATTATTTACCTTTAATAAATCTGATGAACGATTACCTGTAATGGATTTTCCTTAAGAAATAGAACGACGCATTAGTATGTAAATAAGTGTTCTGAAATCATAAGTATTTATGTAAGTTAACAAGACTTTGCTATTTTTGATAAAAGCATTTCCTTTTTCTGGTTTTTACCCCCAAGATATGACAGTAAATTCGGAAAAATTGCGTTATTTATATTTCGAACTGCGAGTGTGTAAAAACTAGAACTAGCAATTTCACGGCATTGTTTATATCGTGTATATTTGCATGATGTCACGGTACTAGATAAATATATACTAATTGTAAGGGAATTCAAGTTTTGTAATAAAAAGGTTTGAACGTTGTTTTCAATTTAGACTTGTTTATATTTTTTCGTTTGGGCTTGTATTATATTTGCCTTCGGGTTTATATGATCCGTTCATCCTATTTCGACTCTTCAAAAGTCAAGAGTCTATCCTAAATTGAGGTAAATTATATGGCCTTCCAAATACCGTTTCGATTCCTAACATCACTAAAGAGACCTTAATTGTCGAAATCCGGATATGGTGAACTAATTTTTGCACCTTTTGTTTGCGGTATACCATCTTTTGCCGGAAGTTTATTGTTTTCTGTTTGGTATTAAATAAATAGTTAAGATCCATTTTGTTACATCTGGTGATCCGTTTATTTGGCAATCACCATTGGCAGTCAGCAGGGTTTAAGAACATCCGTTGTTCGACCTGCTAGTCAAATGCGTTTTGTTAAAATATACTTTTTCACTTTTTTTGGTCTTTTGGAAAATGTTGTTTGTGCTGTATTTAGACCCCTCTACCAAGACCTTTGTTTTGCATGCACACGTACAAAAATTGCGGTTTTTATCCAAGGCAATCATAGATTTGAACGTTGTTTTAAATTCAGACTTGTATATATATATATATATATATATTTACATGACTAATGGATTCAGTTATTGTATAATTGTAAAAAGGTAACAATTGCCTTGAGAGCATTGAAGTTAACGATGTCATTTTATCTACCTATCAAGGTACTATTTGAGCTATTCAATAATGTAAAATGGTAGCACCATTTTTCCGTCTTTTGAGATCAATGTGTACAAAAGACACAAGATATATATAAACCCCATCAATTGAAAATAAACAGAAAAAACCGCAAGCACTCAACAATAGCCTAAATCATTACGCAGAAAAGGAATCATATATATGTCACATGTGTTTTAATAGCAGTCGCATTTCTAAAAGACATCGATTTACGTTAACAGGAAAACCAGCTGGTAGATAACTAAAAGCAGACCCAACTGTATTGGAATAAACATATACGGAAATTTAGTATAGGAAAACACAAGTACAAACAGAACACTACACGACAAAAGCACACACACCTTACACAATAATTTGGCTTCTTTGGCATCACACGTGTTTCAGGAATAACCATCCAGGTAAGCTCATGAAAGTTTGAGAAAAAAACTTATGAAACGGTTCAAAGCATAAAATCACATCGATACCTTGATGTTGACAACGTATAAAAACATTAGAATGAAATCACCTCGTAGATTTTGGTAAACTTTATTTTTTTCTAAGGTTTTCGTTTATGTCAGGATTTTATCTAGCTTCAGCCATACTTTACTATCTGTTGTTATATAATATGATTTCACTGTTCTAAAATGTATATGTGCACTCATATATCATTTGAAATCAATTTATAATTCTAATGACAACCTAAAAATGATTTTTCTTTCTTCCATAACTTCGATGTATATCAATAAAAGTTATCTGCTTCCAAGCATTTATTGATTTTTCTGAATTTCACTCTTGCTTCATTGACATAGATTTCATTATTAATTACACTCAAAGAGTGTACTCGATGCACTTAACAATCTTATCAGGAGAATGGAATAGATGATAGGAAACGAAATGTGTATGCTATTGATAAATTGTCTTAATAGACAAAATTTTTGCCCATTAAGAAAAGTAAGTTGTATATCATAAGGAGTTTTCATAAACCTTTATATATCGTACAAGATACAAAATGTCAACTGTATTCCTAAATGCTATGGAACTTATATCACCAGATGTAATTTGACAAATGATACTGGGTACGTCATAAAAGCAAGAGAAGTTGATTTGTAGAGTATCGAAAGACCTAGGAGTTCACAAAATGTAGATCAGATGACTAAAGAATCAATTATCTTAAATGAGTTCATTTTATGAACAAACATGATTGAATACTACAAATTATCATTCCGTTATCAATGTTAGAATGTGGTTAATTATTGTCCAAACATAACAGTTTTGATATTTAAATTATGGTTAAATACATGGCTTTTCTGTTAAAGACGTTCTGTTTTTCGGCTGTCAAACTCCAGATTGATCGTCAAGGAAAAGTATCGCCTAAAAAAATGCAATTCTAACATTTTATAGCTGAATTCAAGACTTGTATATATAATATTCATAACTTATCCTTGATGCTAACTTCTAAAAGAGAACTTTTTGAATTTGTTAAAACCAAAATAATGTCGAGAGGGAAACTATATTTGTTAAGAAATAGATGATACAAGTAAAGCGTTCAGAGAACCACTTGTTTATAGAAGGATACCCGATATCATTTTGTACATATAGCAATACATTTTGAATTTCACTTGATGTTTTTAACAAAAAAGTATGCGGTTATTTTTTTATTCAATACTTCTACTTTTTTACATGATACCGGTATAATGAAGAAAATGTTGATTCACATACCATGGATGTGTTGAATAAAAAATATATTGTACACAAAAACAATAACAAGAATAAACAAATTAATTTGGCCGTACAAAAGACGAACCAAACACTTACAACCGAAACCTGAGATATCGATGCATAAAAGAAACAACACATGGTATAGACAGCCTTGCTGGTTTGACACAGACACAAACTGTAATAGGCTAAAACAAGTTTTAATTGTGAACAAACCGCCCGTTTTACATTTCCTCTATTACATTTCGTAAATGAGCACAAATTAAAGAAAGTCAGTACATATTTACAACAATCAAATTACTTAAATTACCCTTCTCACACCGGACCACACCGACTCACTTCTACTACCGACTCACATGTTTTTCATGTACAAAGTATCTATGCATTAAGGAATTCAATAATAAGATTACATTTATTATAACCAAGGTATTATATGTGGAACAATAAGTTCGATACACTATTTTTGAATAAAATATCATGTCCCAAACTTAATCAATATGTCTGTTTTCAGAAATATTTCTGTAGTACTAGTTACTAGTAAGTTACTAGTACTAAAACATTGAAAAGACGGAAACAAGATGTTTTGTCTCACAACATCATAATGATGATAGAAAATTGATATATTCATTACCTTTGTATTTATGTGCGTTATGCGGAATCAGTTTGAACGATTGCACAATGTTTTTATAACGGAGAGTTAATAAATAAATAGGTTGTGTAACAATCGTTGTTATTCGGTTTGGCGGTCAGTATATAAGGTAACGAGTATTAAGTTATCGAGGTTGGGTAGTTACTAAACCAGCACACATTTTATAGTTGGAAGTTTAATTTTTCTTTTCCAAAACATATTTATGTATTTTTGTTTTCATATTGTTCCAGTATCTTAAACATGTTATTTTCTTTTTTTGTAGATTGTTTTGTTAAAGAACACGTGCAAGATTCTGCCATGCAGTTTCTTTTGTGTAAATTAGGACTTTATATTTTAGTATGGACTTTGAGGCAGAGGAGATATTTTGTATAAGAAAATAAAAGTTTAAGCTGGTCACTGCGCCATTCAGTACCCAAATATTGTGTTTGTGTTTCATTGTATTCAGTAAGAAAAGTGAACATAATTGCATGTGTTCAATTATGTTCACATGATTTCAAAGAAGCTGGAACATTTTAGCACATGAAAATGTTATGTTTGTTTAAACAAAGTGAATTAAAACATAACTAAATTTACTGTTTACAATGTTGAATTATTAGATATTTGAAACAGTAATGTTTTTTCTATCCGAAGCTTAACATAGCTTATACGTATTTGGCACAACTTCAAAAAAATGTCAATGTTCTTCAATTAACTTCGTATTTGATATGGCCTTCCAACTGTTTTAATTCGAGCGCTAGTGATGAGTCTTATGTAGAGGAAAACGCGATTCTAGCAAAGCAAATTATAATATTCGCATCTTTGTTTTTGTTTCTTTTTCATGATAAGTTCTTATTTTACTATTTTAGGAGCAAAATAATGACTTATCATACATCCTCCTTTATAGAATGCCCTTTCTAAAATTATTTCGAAATAGAAGCATCTTCAGTAAATACTAATATTTAAAGTTTCCATATTAATAAGATATTGAGACAAATTTGGTTTACATCAAAAACTATTTCAACATCAAAGTTAGGTCAGGTAGCAAGAACGTGACACATACACGTGAATTACATTCATGTAAAAGAAATAGTACTGACTAAAGCTTTGCCAAAAGGCAAAATAATAAAAAAGATTTATCACAAGACGTCACTGTACTTGTTATTCGTGCTTCTTTTTTTAATCCTTTCATACTTGTCAAACATGTTTTCGCTTTACATTTTTAGACCGATTTATTGATGAACGTGTAACTTCTAACAGAAAATACTACATGTTTTAAGGACGATTAGATGTTAGAGTAAAATTCATATGACCTACTTTAATAAAAAAATTCTTACTTATTTTTATCGTCTTAGTTCAAAAGATAATCATAAGCAGGCTCATGTTTTGTATTTTGAGACGACCAGTGAATGTTTTCACAACTGTTTATTGTGTGTATAGCGAAGAATCAGCATATAACTGTTTTAAATTCTCTATTTTCAATTTTAAAATCTTTACTGTTTTACTATATCATCATCGAACCCTCAGCACTTAATGCCAAAACACTATCACGAAACCACTGATGCGTGTTTGTTAAATATAAACGATGTTGGCTGGATAAGTTTTTGAATAAAATTTTATTTGAACCCTTCCCTACAAGACACAAATATTATTATTATACTTCATGTCAAAATGCCAGATTATGATTGGTTAATACGAGGGAGACAATTTACTCTATCCCATGGCAAATACTCTATTACCCTTCACGGAGACGCTTGCTCAAGTGTGCGCTTTAATAAATACGGGTGATTAATATGTATAAGACGACATAGTTTATTACTTTACATTTGAAATTTAAAGACAGAACATTCAGTATAATAAATTAAATAACACATATCTGAGAGGGTGATAGAGCAGATTGTTACCCCTTGAAAAGACATTGTCAACCTTGGCTTCACCATCTGCTCTATCACCCTCTCAGCTATGTGTTATTTATATAATGTTTTATTTTTTTGTGTGTGCCCAATAGTATACCTGCTAAAGATTATTCCAGGAAAATGCTTCGTGGACTGAAATCATACATGTTTTTATCTCAAGAAATTATAATAGTCACATAATTTGCCAACAAATAATTAAATGCGCCAACCATTCTAATTATTTTCAGAACTACACAATCTTATGAAAAACAAAAATCATGTTAACACAATAAATGTGATAAAAGTCAATAATAATGTCAATGCTTCCAAAGCTTTCATAGTTTTTGGTATAAAACCGAAATGACAAAATTAGCAATGAATCGCAATGTCCTTCTGTGTTGGTTTTAGTCTAGTTTATATGAACGTAATTTATTATTTATGTAATATTTACCAGGAAAAAAGACAGTATTATCTGTTTAGATTTTTGAAACGATATAGTAATACAAAGAACAAGGTAGTTCACCGACAAAAAAATCACATATCATAAGAAAAAGTATTAATGCATCAATATATGGAAGTGAAAACAGGAACTCTAAACAAAACCAGACCACGTCATTCGACTCGGTAAGCATCTCTTGAGTTGCATGCACCACCCACTAAACATATGATACCGGATTTATTTTTCACAGCATGTTTCTGAAAAAAACCTTCATAAGGTAACTCAAAGACCGAAATTTTTGGAAACCATATATATAAAATGTTTCTGTACATTAAACTAAAACGACCTGATGAAAACAACTTAAATTGTTTATACATTGACCAAGAGATTTTTTAAATATTTTACTATACAACAGTGATATGAGAAAAAAAGATTTCTCTACAACGTCACTCTCCCCCTCCCTAAACTCCAAAATATGTTGCTTGGGATACACAGTTGTTATCCCTTTTACCTATTATTAAATACTGAAAACCTTAATACACCTAATTTTCTCAGTTAGATCCTTTACTTAATTTTCATAAACAACCAGACTTTTGCGTGCATCTGCAGATGGCAAGACTTTATATTGTGCGTCTTCAAATGGTTAGACTGTATTGTGCATTCAACCATGGTAAGACTATAATAGCATGCAAAGCAAACCTTTGATCAACTTGCTTGCTATGTTTGGTCGGATGTTTGTAAACAAAAGGTAGGTAGTCTGTTTCAGTCTGTTTACTATATAATGGAATTTGATTGGACAATAAACATTAACTTCATTGCATGTCAATTTTTATTGTCCAATCAAATCCCAGTATGTATAAAACAGACTGAAACTCCGTTTACCTATTGTTTGCACACATAGCAAGCAAGTTGATCAAAGGTTTGCTTTGCATGCTTTTATAGAAGAGCTGTAATATAACACAGTATTAACTCAACAGTCAAAAATAACGTTTAAACAGATTCTTGATTTCGGAGAATCTAAGCTCAACTTTTTTTTTTGCATTAGTGATGTTTTTGTTCGACTTACTGGTTTAGATAACAAACGTTGTCATCTGCAGACTGATCTTTTTATAATCGAAAATTTCATTATTTGCAGTATTTTAACAATCTAAAAACCTATAGTCTAGCATTTCAATATCACTGCTTGAAAATCTCTTTTTTCTCTATTATAATTATTTTTTCATTACATTTGTTAAAATTGCTACCGTCCAATTTACAAACTGATTCCAGGTGTGTAGTTTTACGTTGTATTTGGTATAATCGAATAAAAGCTGGTGCTTATCTAACTTTTCGTGTCCTTGTTGCACAAACAGCAAAAAGTCACACGGTTTTTACTAGACATGTTTCTTCATGGCTGACTCTGCATGCAATTTTTTTTTTAATTTCATATCTTAATACGAATAATAAATATAGACTTTTTTGTTGTTATATAAGCAATTATAAAAGCTTGTGATAAATATTAACACAAAAAAAAAAAACAGTTTTGAAATTTTCAAAATATATTAACGTACCGTTTCATAGCATACGTGATAATGGAATTATAGCTTGATCATGTTCCCTCGAAGCAAAACAAAACCAGACGTCAGGTACATGAAATACGAGTGAACAATCAAACCAAAAGGACATATACAGAATGATTAGCAATAACCATTTATATGAATTTGCCAACCTCCATTGTTTATTTGAATTTGGTTATTATCTACGATACATGCTATATTAAACATAAAAAATTGAAACATAAAAAAATTGTTAAATATTATAACACATACAGATATAATAAAATTCACCATGCTTAAAACCACAAAATTACTTTTTTCTCATTAAATGTCATTCTTGCATATCTTCTTGAGGAAATTGGTTGTATTTGAGCTATTTTGTGTAGTCTAACACAATCGCAGGTAAAAGTAATAACTACCACGAAATGCGTCACACCTGTATAAAAATAAAGAATAAAGGTTAATAAATTGTTATGTTTAAGTTGCGTTACATCATACTGCAATGAAAAATAAACAGGAAACAAACATGATATTTAAATTTTTTTTTTTAAATTGTATAGTTGATTGTCCTCAATGGAATTGAACCCTCAAGTGTGTGTACCTAATAAATTGAACAAAAATGCGAAAGCAGTGTTGTTTGTACAACCTTTCATAAGAAAAGCTTAATCAAAATGTAAAACCTAATATGTTTATGAATGAATATGAGAACTTTATGATCAACAAGAGGGAACAGTAGTTTACGGATGTTGAACTCTCATATATTTATTAAAGAATTTCAAATCAAGGTGAAACAAAAACTGAGGAAATATCATGTACCCTAAAGGAACGAGACCTGATATGTCAACAGGGTAAAAAAGTGTAAAAAAGGAGGCGGTGGATACCAGGGTATATTCTTCTCATTAGTCAAAAACAAATTGGCAACACTATTAAAAAACCCCGAAAGAATTACGAAATAACCACGTGGAAAGAACAAACAACGGTCTACAAAACACAACATATAAGACAAATGACTGAGCAACACTAACCCCACCAGAATCTGGGGGTGATCTCATTCCTTATAGTGTGATAATGCACCGGTATAACGTATCTACTTAGGTATATATATACGCCACACGATGGGACAGAGAGTATTTTGATACTGAAAAATTTTGATACTGAGAAAATTGGACACAAATGACGAATGTATTTGGCAAAAGTTGATTTCTACATTCAACTTGGCCCAAAGAAGCTAGATCTTGGTTTTTTTTTCATTTTTTGATATGTAAATTAGATAAGCAAGGTATTGTTAGTTAAAAAAATCTTCTTTTTATATTATCTCATGTAAGAAATAATAACTACTGGGGAAATGCTCGTCCATGAGTATGACTGCAAACCAAGAATATATTTTACACGTACTTGCTTGCATTCATTTCGCAAACATAGTTTAACAAATACATTTCCAGCATTTAAAGCAGCGAACAAATTCGAATGAAAGAAGATATGGGTTTAACAATAACGACACAGTAACCAAAAGACACGAAAAAAAGTTATCTAGAAGTCAACACATGGTCTTCATTAATAGACAGTGATCAA